TATGTATTACATGCTCTTTGAAGTTTGATAGCATTCACTAGAGAAACTGCCTTATTTGGGACTTTTTGCTCATAGGGAGATTTCTGTTTGTAATGGGTCTATTAAAGCTATTTTTCTTGCTTCAGTCTTGGAAGGCTGTGTGTTTCTAAAACTTGCCCATTTATTATATTGTTCAGTTTGTTTCTGTAGTGATGTTCATAGGTAGGGTCTTCTGATCCTTTGTATTTCTATAGCAACTATTGTAATTTTGCCTCTCCTTTATGATTCTTTACATTTGGGTTTGCTGTCTTTTTCTTAGTGAGTCTAGCTAACAGGGTTTATCAATTTTGTGTATCTTTTCAAAGAGCCAGCTTTTAGTTTCACTGGTCTTTTGAACCATTTGTTTCCTATTGCACTTATTTCTACTCTTAATTTTTATTATTTCCTTCCTCCTACTGATTTTTGGTTTCATTTGTTCTTATCTTTCTAGTTCCTTCAATTGTTAAGTTAGGTGGTTAATTTGAGTTTTTTTCCCCTTGTTTTTGATGTGGGTCTAAAATGTATGTACTTCCCTCATATTATGACTTTTATAGTATCCCATAGGATCTAGCAGCTTGTCACTCCATTTTTGTTAGCCTCCAGATAATTTTTAATTTCCCTTTTGATTTCCTCACTAACCCAGGAATTATTGAAAAGCATTTTGTTTAGTCTCCATATGTTTGAGTTGGCCTTAAGACTTTTTGTGGTTAATTTCTATCTAGCTTTATACCAATGTGATCGGAAAAGATGCTTGATATAATTTCTGTTTTCATATTTTTGAGACCTATTTTTTTCCAACCACATTTTCTTTCAGCATATGATCTGTCTTTGAGAACTGTTTCACGTGCACTGAAGAAGAAATATATTCATTTCTTTTGCGGTGGAAGTCCCCAGCTTGTTTGGCTGACTGGAATAGCCATTGTCCTATCTATAACTCTCTTTGCCTCTCCCTGTTCTTTTCCTGCAGTGAACCATCAAAATAGTGCAAAATATCTGTGAAATTTAATGTGAGCAAAATTAGTTTTCCTCTGCTTGTACTTAGGGGAGGGGTTTATCAAAACTTTTCTGCCATGTTGCAGGTGGAGTTCCTTACATGACTTTCAGATCCAGTTTGTTTGTCACATGATGCAAAAATCTATATTTGTTACTGAAAGGCATAATAAAAATGTAACTGTACTGTATATATTGTATTATGCATAATAAATATATGCTTTTCCTTTTTATACTCCCCCAACTACACTAAGTGTACTTAGTGTATACTATATCCTTTATGTCCTATTCTAATTACAGATTTATCTGTTCTTACAGTTCTGTCAATATTTTACTTATGTGTCTTCAGTCTGTGTCATTAAGCAGTAAGATCTACACTCGCAGTTTCTTTCCCTGCCATTTCATTATTATGAAGCAGCCTGTTTAGCTAGTAAAGTTTTTCCCTTAAATATTAAAAAGTTTTTCTTTTATTGTTTACCTATCATTTTTTTCTACCCTTTTATGACTCTAATTTCTTCATTGTTTTTCACAAATATAGAAGAAATACAAACACTTCATAAATAATTATAAAACATATATCTATGTGCTGTTTACTCACATTCCAGCCTTCTCTCTCTCTCTCTCTCTCTCTCTCTTTTTTTTTTTTTCAGATTTATTTATGCATATAGAACTGGGGCACAGGCCAGAGGTGTAGGGGGTGAGAAGATTCACCAGAGACAGGTAGATTGACTGAAATATACTGCTGAGGGGAGTAGCGGGCGAGACAGGAGAGGTCTCGCCTCTCCTGTACCACATGGGTCAGCTTCCTGGTCGGGGACCGAACTTGTGCTTTAATGGTTGTGGACAGCTTGACAGTGCTGTGCTTTACCCGTTGCACCACTGGAAGGGTCCTTCAGCCTTCTCTTTTCAACCTCTGCTTCCCTATGCTTAAGATATGTCTTTTATAAATACCAGCTAATTGAATTTTGTTTTCTATCCAGTCTGAAATTTTAATTTCTAACATTTAGTCTTATTTACATTTAATGTAAGCATTAACATATATTTTGTTTAGATCTTCATCTCTTTGTGCTCCTTGTTTTTTCTACCATGTTCTCTTTTCTTGTCCTCCTTTAAGCTGACATTTTATCATTCCCTGATGTTTCCCTGTATAAGTTTGGAAGTTGTACACTTGGTTTTCATTCTTATAGAAAGTCTATCAGAAATTACATTTATCCTTAAGTTAACAGCATCTAAATTTAACCCTTATCTTCTTGGTTTTGGACAGGACTATTAAGAATTTTCCATTTGAATTTTTCACCTTGATTTACTGCAATTTAATAGGCAATTGCTCATACATTACAATCTGTTTTTAAAACTAAAAAAAAATCAGTAAAATAAAATTTTAAAAATTAAATAAAATTATTAAGACATTGTTATCTTTATCTGCTGATTTAGCATTTTATTTATTCACCCTTCTTTCTTTTAGCACCTACAGTTTATATACTTTTATCTAGTTTTGTTTTTCTTGTGTCTGAAAGCACATCATTGAGCTTCCTTTAGTACTAATTTGCTAAAATAAAAATTTTTAGTTGAAAAATATCATTTTCCAAATTCCCAAAAGATGCTTTCATGGTTATAGAATATGGTTATTCATCTTTCAGAACCCTAAGGCTACCTTCCCTGCTGCCTGTGGTTCCTGTTGTTGTACTTGGGCAATTGTTCTGTTGGAAGAACAGAACAGTTTTTCTCTCCCCTATTTGCAGCCTTGTCAAAACTCATTTGACCATAGGTAAGGGTGTATTTCTGACTGTTGCTTACTACCAGATGCATCACAAATATTAAGAAATGGTGCTTTGAGTTATTCCATTATTCAGGACAAAATGCCCCAGTGTTGCTGACCTCACTCAGATGGGTGTCTTTCTGGCTGCTTTTCTGTCATGTTTCCTGAAGCCACACATTGTATAAAAAGTATTTGATCAAGTTATTTGTGTACATAAGTAAATTATCTACCACTTTCTGCTACATTTAGAGTGGTCAGTAGTGAGAAGCTGTTAGTATTATTAGCTATTAGTATTAGCTATTCATATTTTATGTATAGCTGATATTTGGCTTCTAGTCTCCCCCATTCTTCCTAAAGTGCCTCTTCAGAAGCACACTTTGTGGATGTATTCCTTCTCTATATAACCCACTGCTCTGTCCTGATTCGTTGACAGGTTGTGACATTGTTCTCTCACCCCAGCTGTGTGGATAGTGCCACACGCTCTCCAAACGACGACGGCTCTTGCACGCATATTCCAGTGTTTCTTTTGTCAGAGGGTCCAACAGAGCCTCAATTCTTTCAGTGGCAGCTCTGAGTGGAGCGAGGAGTACTCAGCAGAGATGGTGAAGATGACAAAATCCAAAACTTTCCAAGCTTATCTGCCTAACTGCCACCGAACTTACAGCTGTGTCCACTGCAGAGCCCACCTGGCCAATCACGATGAGCTGATCTCCAAGGCAAGTGATGGCGCCCATACAGTGATGGTGGCAGCTAGCTAGCAGATGAGTAACCATTGCATCACTTCCTGAGTGTGCTGTGTCCTACAAGTCTAGAGCGTCCTGGGCAGCATTGAGGAAAGTCTTATGCGTGCTCAGGTGTGTCTGCACTTGGAGTGTACAAGCAGGTAGTGTGTGTGGCCTGGTAACCAGGACTCCTGAAGATCATGAGGGAGTGAGATGAGTCACTTATTTGTCAGTCATTACACATACTGTAAACCAAGGGGCCACTGAAAGAACTAGTGAAGTCTCGATAATCTGTGGGAATAGTTTAATAATAAGGGAACTAAGACATCTCTAAAATTTTAAATGGTTAAGAACACTAGGAGGGAGCTGGGATCTCCAGAAAAATGCCCAGGAGGGACATTATGGACATTGTGCAGGACAGGAGCAGCCTCAGAGGTGTGAAAAGAATACCAAATTCTTCCTTATTAATTTATTTTTTAAAAAGATTTATTTATTTATGCATATAGAACTGGGGTATAGGCCAGATGTTTAGGGGCAGTAAGAAGATGCACCAGAGACAGAGTGGGGAGCAGAACAGGCAGACTGACTGAAATACCCTTTTGAGGGGAGCAGTGGGTGGCACAGGAGAGTTCTGTTGCTCCAAGTGGGTTGGGGATCGAACGTGTGCTGAAGCGGCTGCAGCCAGCTTCGTAGTGCTATGCTTTAACCAGTCATGCCACCAGGGAAGGCCCAGTTAAATTCCTATAGCAGTATTAATATTTACAATCACCCAGTTACCCAGCTGTGAATACTTAAAATAATGTGAACATAGTGGATGAGCCAATGTTCTTGCAAGGAAATGGTGCCATTGTACTCCCCCACCCCCAGGCACAGCACCCACTCATCCCCACAGAGCTGCCTTCCTGGGCTCCACGAGCCTCATTCTCCTTCAGAAACAAAGTCCATCAGGACCTTGTGCCTTTTAGGAATCTCTGCCTAGACTCCTTGTTTGATTCAATTAGAAGCACATTTATCTTCTTTTCTTTTTTAATTAATAGCAGTGACTGTTTCATTTCTGTTCATATAAAATAATAATGGTTAAATAAGGCAGAGTGTCTGCTCATTGCTTCTGTGGCTCCTTTGTCCCTGCAGTGTCTCAGATCAGAGGTGGAAGCCCGCAAACCCCGGGGTTCTGCTGTTTTCCCAGCAGGCTCAGTGTTCACACCAGAGTTATGGAAGGCAGAGCCGCTTGGGCCGCCAGGCTGGGCTGTGTGACTTGGGACTGGCTGAGCTCTTGACCGGCTGAGCGCGGCAGTGTCAGGAATGAATCTGAGCTAGTCGAGTCCCTGGGCCCCAGGAGCACGCTGAGCCTGGCCCACAGCAGTGGTCACTGCTCCCCCGGAGCTGCTGTTCATGCTTTGCAGGGCAGCCCCAACTCCTGGCAAGGCCCCCAACTCAAAATGCTGCATTGCTTTTACTCTAGAACTCACACCCCAATGTCACTTTCCGTCTTACCACAGCAAATCTTTTAAAACTTTTTTCTTCTTTGCAGTCATTTCAGGGAAGTCAGGGACGAGCCTACCTCTTCAATTCTGTGTGAGTATTGCGTGCAGCGTGTGGACATGCTGTGTCCACTCTCGGGTTACGTTTATTGCTTCTGCGCACCCATCTGTTGTGATTCAGGACCAGAGTATGTAAATAGGGCTGACCAGTGGTCTGGAATGACACATTGTCTTCTGTGTGATCGTAAAGGAGGATGCTCTCTAGTTGAAAAGTTACCGAAGGAATACTCTTAGCAGAGAATTAGCTCCCACAGACATGGAATGACTTCTTTCCGTTTTGTGGTAGATTTGGATTTTTACTGTGGAACAGTAGGGCTGTGGCCTCTTTCCCACAACCTGTCCCATCTTGGCATTCTTGAGGGGAAATAAAAAGTTGTTCCTTCTCATAAAAAGCAGTTGGTGGACAGAGGGGGGACATGAAGGGTTCAGAAGAAACGTTTCTGCATTTCTGGTAACCAATTGGCTGAAGAAATAACGCACCCAAGTTGGAGGCCAGTGGGAGCTGGGGGAGGCCCTCCGGGCACTGCAGTTTAGGGCTCCCAGGAGGGGAGAGGAGGACGTGTGTCCAGCATCCTGCCTCCTTCCCTGCAGTGTAAACGTGGGCTGTGGCCCTGCAGAGGAGCGTGTCCTTCTTACTGGCTTACACGCCGTTGCAGACATCTACTGTGAAAACTGCAAAACCACACTTGGGTGGAAATATGTAAGTAACCATTTTGTTCTGACATTTCAGAGAAAACACATTTACTGTAATAAACATGCTATAAATAGACATGAAACTGATTTTCAAAGGAGTAAGACTTCCTCCTGGAAGTGTGATAGATGATATGCTCAAAGAATACATGTCTTAACTAGAATTTCTTTTGAACCAGTTCAGAGTTGTATAATCTCATGGGCACATTTCACTCACAGAGCAAGGAACAGCCGAACAGCCATACTTAAGGTGGGAGGTGGGACCACATAGGGCTCTACCCCATGACCCCTCCTGGGAGGGTGGCTGGTCTCCATCTGGGGGACATTTACTTGCAGGCAGGGCCTAGGGTGCCTGGTGACATTGAACAGCAAGCACAGCTGGCCCCTCTGCTTCAGACATCCAGCACCTGTTTGGGTATGAAGGAAAAAAACTCCCTCTTTTTCTTGGGACCTTGAGATGGAGTTGCCATCTCCAGCCCCTCCATTTCTAGTGTTTACCTCCTGCCCCAGGCTTCCTGCAGACACCTCACCAAAGCCAGGCCTTCCCAGCTTGTGGGGAAGCCACCTCAGTGCTCCCTGTTTCTGCCTCCCCTTGCCTGACCTCAGGCCCCAGCCTGCTTCCACTGGTCTGTTGACATCTCTAAACCTGCACTTCTGCCCCAGCTTCTTGTCCTGGTGAAAATCCCAGGTACCCACCACCCCTTAGCACTTGGTGCATGTTCCTCAAAGTGGTAGAACTTGAGACTTGGCGTTTGAGAGATCCATGCCTGCTTGGGAGTGTCTTCTAGAGCCATGCTTGTTTTCTTCATCAGGGCCACCTGCCCTCTCTCTGGATTTCCTATTCCTCTCTGGTCGCTAGACACCAGATAGTGAGGGACGCCACCCCTTGCATGGAGATGGGCTCAGCAAGGGCTGCCCGCTCCACCGCTCTTCCCCCGGCTCAGCCTACCTGCCCCAGCCCCCAGCACTCTTCTAGCACAGGGCGTTTTCTTTCTCACCACCTTCACACTGCCCCCAGAGCTCTCGGTGTAGTTGACCCCACTCTTCTTCAGCCTGGAGTCCCTGGGAGAAATACCTCGTTCCTCTTCCTACCTCCCAAATGTCCCTGCACATGGCTGGGTCTTAGTAACACACTTGAATTCCCTACAAGTTTAACCATAGCTGAACAAGGAGTATAATAAAGTAAACCCTCACACTCTCACAGGCCTGTCACCTGACAGTCCCTGCCAGGCCCCTGACCCCAGGATCCAAAGCTTAGGGAACATCTGGGCAGATGTAACACTATACTTATTCCCCTAATCACGAGAGTAATGACATTGAGTAGTGAAAATCGATTCTGTCCTGAAATTCTTGTTTCTCCACTTTTTTTCTTTTCAAGGAACATGCCTTTGAGAGCAGTCAAAAATATAAGGAAGGAAAATTTATTATTGAGCTTGCCCACATGATCAAAGACAATGGTTGGGAGTAAAGTGAAACTTTCTGTTCTCTTTTTGAATACTTTTTTGTGAGAGAGACTGCAAATGTAATGGAAACCTGGGAGCCTCCTGGATGACAGTGTCTCTTGAACTCCAGCCTGGCAGGTGGGCCTCTCCCAGCCGTGTCCTGGGTAAGGTGTCACACCCTCCAGCACGCGCTCCTCGTGTGTCTCGGCATCTCCAATGACCTTTTTCTATTCTCAAGTTCTAGACAAAGAATTAACCAACTGATGGTCTCTCTGGTTAATACCTTAATCTGTGTCTTTAAGATAAGAGCTTGACTGCTTTCATGTTTAATGGAAAACTGAATTTCTAAAGGCCATAGGGACGGCAGCTCTTCAGAAGCAGGTCTCACCCCTTGTGTAAAGACATTGTAGCCCACTTATAATTTCCCAAACTACAAGTTGATTATTCCTCCTGAATGTGAACTGTTAAGGTCTAGTGCTCATTTGGGAATCTTCCAGAAACAGCAGAGGGTGGTTTTTCTTAATTCTTGTTAAAAAACAGAGGACACCACTGATGACATGTTAGAAAGGTTAGATAATTATGTCTAATGGAACAACTTGTTTATTTGGGCCAATAGCTTCCTTATTCAGAAAGCAAGAAAACTAGTTGTTAGGAAAGACTGTTCCATGGGGCTTCAGTTCCCCAGGCAGGAAGTGGTTAAGAGGCAGATCTGTGGAGCTAAAGTGTAGTACATTGGATTGAGTAAAATCAGATTTCCCTTTTTACTACATTGTACTTCAAGAAAGGAATATTTTTGGCATACAAGAGGCCAGAATGAACAGGAAAAACTTCCAAACTTCAGATTTGCCAGATTGTTTTTAGATGTTGTCAGAAGAAATTAAAGCTCTAAGATGGGCTTAAGATTTGTAAAGATATTTGGTCTATTTGTCAGATCACTTCTGCCCCACAGTGGGCTGACCTAGAAGGGACCTGAGGAATCTAATGCTGTGTCCCCACATTTGAAGTTCCAGTCCACCATGCCTCTCCATGAGAGCAGCCTCTGTGCAAGCATTTTAACCATTTCAGAGAATGGAGACAGAAAAGCATTCCTAAGTCAGTCTTGGTTTTCAGTATTTTGACCCAAACCTGATTGGTGGGCCTGATCAGCCACTTCTGATGTCTGGGCGGTGGTCTATGGCGAGAGACTCATGGGACCTCAGCACTGAGAGGCAAGAAAAGGGACCCAGGAGATGGTAAGGAGAACTGAGCACTCAGGTGTTTCCCAGCCTCACAGGCTGGTTCTGAAATAGCCCTCACACAAGTTAGTCCAGTGGTTAGGAGAGCGGGCTTGCGGCAGTACATGCGAGAGACTGGGGGCTGAGGGGAATTGTCCCTCCCGAGTCTGGGTCCTGCTGTGCAGGCACCCAGTGCTCCTGACTAGGTCTAGTTCAGTGTTCACCTTGAGCTTCCCTGGTACAGTCTCTTTGCCTAAGACTCAAAAGCTTTGGAACGTGGGAAAGACCACTGCCAGGTGGGTGAGGAGACACCAGTGTGACTCGCGCATGGAGCCCCTGGCACACATCTTCAGGTTTAAAGGGAAAGGCATCGTGTAAGCCTCTGCCCTTGCACACACCCCAACAGGTCACTGCTCCCCTAAGCTGGTGTCCCCACAGACACAGGCTGTCCCCACACATTCCCTGTTGTAAGGTGATGTGCAGCTGCGCTTCCGGCACCCTGGCTCAATCTGAAGATCCCTCTCTTGAGCAAACACCTGCTGCTCCAGTGCTTAGGGACAACCGAAGAACCGAAGGCAGCCTTCCCCGAGCACTCGTCCCCGAGTACTCGTAACGCCAACACGGCCTGTGAACTTTTCCCTTCTGGTGGTTCCTCTGCCATGTTGCATCTGGAGGACCCAGAGGAACAGGGAGCACCAGGCCTGAGCACTTCATGTAAGCCGGAAAATCTTCTAGAATCCTTTTGGTCACTTTTTTGTACATACTGAAACGTCTATTTAAAGCTTTTATATGTGCTGGGTAAGTTTACTGCTCCTCTGATATGAGCACTTTGGTGTTTGTGTCGTCTCTTGTGATGGTATTGAAATATTTTTACTAGCGGTCTGCCAACAGACTTTTATCACTTTTTTGTTGGTTTTCTGTAATACCTAAGCTTTTTCTGAAACCAAATAAACTGACCATGAGCTGGCATCAGGGAAGGATATTCACAAGACACAATCAGCTGTAGTGTTGGAATGCTCTACCCTCTTCAATGCCCAAATAAATACCATCCCGTGACTTATTTAAAATGCCTTTTTCCTCAAGGGTGGGAGGTGATGCCAGGATTATAAAAGCATTTAATCGAAAACTATGTGGTAGAGTCTGAGGCAGAACGTTTGTTTTAGGGGTGTTTACTGCTATTTTATGAGTATATGTGTGTACACACACATGAATATACAGTGTTTTTATACCTTGATGCCATCTGTCAGGTGTTAGAAAGGATTACAAATGGGCATTTTTCAAATGTCCTTTAATTTAGTTCTAACCTTACCACATACTTCAAATCAAAGTGGCTTTAGTATCCAGAAAACGGTAAGCTCCTAAACAGCCTACAGAAACAGAAGGTCCCTATTTGTCAAAAGCTCTGGGTATGCCTGGCTGCTGTCTGAAGCTGGATCGACAGATTGCAGCCCGGGGCTTAAAAATAAAATTTCCAAAGTGAACATGTCAGTAGGCTGCCTTAGGTGCTCTACTCTGAAGAGATGCTGAGGGACAAGTCCCTGACCTCCTATAGCTCCTGCCAGAGCCCCAAGCACCTACTGAGTGGCCTGTGCGTGTTTGCACCCAGCTGTCACTGCACTGACCAGCCCTGTGTGAACCAGGCTTTTAGAGATCGTGCCTTCCACCAGTAAGTTACCAGGTGTCTGCTGCTGAAAAGGGCAGCAGTGAGCAGGTCCGAAGAAGCGAGAGGCTAGGCAGGGTCTGGCCAAAGGTCAGAAGATCCATCTGCGACCTGGTCACGGGCAGGGGGACTGCAGAGGGACAGGCCAGGTGCAGGCTTTGTTCCAAGCACAGTGCAGGGCCAGTGACTGGCCTGAAGCCAGAGGTGGAAAGAAGAGCCAGTGTTCATCATGGAATTTGGAGCTGTTCAAGCTGGAGGTTTTGGGCAGAGGAAAAGGATTAGGCCTAAGAGAATCTCTGTGCTGACCCCAGGACAATGGGCAGTGAGACAGGGTGTGGTTGGGCCACTGATGCTTTCAGAGCCTCAGTGCTGAGAAGACATGGTCCCAAGAGGTGTCCCTAGGCTTCTGCAGAGGCACATCGGGAAAGCCGAGGTGGTGGTGTCAAGGTCAGGGGCAGGCAGGCAGGCAGGCACGCGCTACAGAATGAGCAGAAAGCAAGGTCAGGCGAGTGTTAAGGTTTTTAAAGATATTTAATAGAAAAACAGGGCTAAGAGAAGGGAACTTTTAAGTTAGGAAATGTTGCTGTGGCTGACCCAGAAGCCTCAAGAGTCAGGACTGAGAGTCAGTGTTTAAGCACAAAGTCCTAAGGGCAGTAAGGCCACAACCTTACTCGGGGGCATGGGGGCTAACGTGGTGGGGGGAGAAACACCAGCTTGCTGAAGCCTTTTGCTCATCCGTCAGTAACAGCAGGAGCTAGCTGGTTTCACCGGGCTGCAGAGGCATTCCCAGCACCATCCTGAGACAGTGGTCTGTCCTGATGTGGAACCCAGGTGCCTCAGTGATGACTATCCACAGTGGTTAAGTGTGCACAACCCTGTGAGCCAAGCAAGAGGTGGCAGGAAAAGATCTCACCCAAGGGCCCCAAATCGCCAGCATCAGGAGCCCCACCCCCAAGTCTCCTGAAGACCTAGAATCTGTACATTTATTTCCAAAAGGGTCCATGTAATGCCACTCACTGGTCAGGGACCAAATGGTGTAGAATCCCTGAGAAGATAATGGGATATGGGGGTGGTGGTGAAAGGAAAAGAAAACCCAAGTCAGGACACAGCCCTTCCTCCCACCTTGAGTGTGTGCCAATCTTCAGGCAAGACCCCATGCCTGCGGATCCAAGACAGATGCAGGCCCAGGTATGGAAAAAAGCCAGGCCGCTGTCTATACCAGGGGAGGGCTGGTACAGGCACCAGACAAGAGCTTTATTGAGTCACAGCCCAAAGGGCAGGTATACAAAGGCTTTAGAAAATTCAGAGATAAGGATCCGGCTCCTAGCCGAGTGTCCCTACCAGGATGGAGAGCAGGCTGACGCTACCAGGAGCTGAAGTCCCCAAACCCTCGGCTGGGCTTTTTCTTGGCCACAACGGCAGCTGCACTAGTGGATGGTTCTTCCTCTGCTACCCGTTTCCTAGACAGAAAACCAAACTCCAGCTGTTGTGGGGCACCAGGCCCCAAGTTGGGAACCCATCCCTCAGCCACAGTCCCATTGAGACCCTCCCGGCCAGGCCTGTACAAGTCACTAACGTGCAGCTGCAAGCACCCAGTTCTGCCACTGGCAGGCACTGGCCTAGGGACACCAGTGAGCCCCTGCAGAACATGGCCCTACTCACGTGGCTGCAGGATTGATGTATTTGCCCACCCCCTGGCGGTATGTCTGGGGGCCCTGGTTCCCTGGCTTGGCCTTGCTGGTCTTCACTGTACTCTCTGGGGCCTCCTCTTTGGTGTTCGTCTTCTTCCGCTCCTCGGCAATCTGTGTGAAGCAAGACAGTGACACCCAGGTACCCAGGTATCTCAGTGGCAGGGCTTCCCCAGCCCCTCCCCAGGGGTAGTGCGCCGTCCACACCTGAGCATCAGCTTCCTCGTAGGGGTCCACAAACACGGTGGTAGAGTCGATGCGGATCTCCTCCTAGCAGCAGAGCGGGGACGAGTGAGCAGGCCAGCTGGGGGCAGCAGCTCCCTACTCTATGCACCCTGGTATCCTGAGACTCATACCTTAGGGCGGTCAGTTTTGGGGTCACTCTCCACATTCTCCATGGCTGTCAGTGTGTCAAAGCCCCCAACAACCCTGCAGCAAGGACAGGGGTACTCTGAATATGCCCAGGGCAGGGCATACCCCTGGTCAAATCCACACACTATGCCTGGGAGGGGTGAGAATGGCCCTGGCTGTCAGGCCCTCAGAGGCACCACACAGGTAAAGGATGAGGGCTGGAGCCAGGCCAGCTGGGCTTCAGAAAGATGTGCAAGGCTGGGGGACAGACAAGTGAGGCTTGAGGGCATGTCTGGCTGTCAAAACTGTATAGGGCACAGCCACACCCTGGGCACCCACGATGCCCGTAGCCACCTTTGTGCTCCATCTACAGAGCTAGAAATGCCATCTGAGCCTCATAGGAGTGTGCCGGCCTCCAAATGAGAGGCTGGAAAGAGGACAAGGCTGAAGTTGCAATGTGGGCTGATCCCAGGAGAGCTGTGGCAGGAAGCTGACTGGGAAGTCAGAAAAGAGCTGCTTTCTCTCTAGCCCACAGGTTCCTGCCAAACAGAGAACCCCAAACTGTATACAACCCGAGTCCAAGCAGTGAGACATGGGGGCCAAAAAGCACAGGCCAAGCCCAGGGGAAAGGCAGAGAAGGCTCCCAGGTGGAAAAGGAGCCCTTCAGCCTGTGTTGATACCACAGACCTCATGCTGCTTTGCTTACCGTCCAAAAATGGTGTGCTTCTTGTCCAGGTAAGCACAGGAGCGAAAGGTGATAAAGCTGGGGAAGGAGGACAAGCATCAGAAAGGCGTCACACTTTCTCAACTGCCTTGGCGTGGGACTGATGGGCAGGTGCCCCTACCTCCTCCAGCGCCTGCTCTGGGAACCTGGGCTACTCCAGTCCACATATGTGGCCCCCACAACCTGCCTACTGAGGGCAACCTAGCAGCCCATGCTAGGCCCGTGACCGGGGCCTCTATCTCCCCAGAAGGCCCAGAGCAGGGGAGGCCCCATGGGCAGAGGCTGGCGAGCAGCTGCTCTGGAGAGGCGGTGGGAAATGGGTGGAGAGGGGCCACACGCCAGGAGGACTCCAGAGAGAGCGAGCTTTGAAGCGAAAGGAAGGACATGATGAGCCAAAAAAGGGAGTAAAGAAATTGAGACAGGTGGGCAGAAGTAAACAGACCAAGAAAATAGCCTATTTGGTTTGGTATGAAGATGAGAAGGAATTGAAAGCTAATTACACAAACACATGAGATGGTACAGGGAAGCTGCAATGGAAGAGACACTAGTAACTTGAGACTTTAGATTCACTTGTTCATAAAGTAAAAAGGTCTAACTTCCAATACAGGAGAAAAAAAAAGGAAATGAAAATTTCTTAAAAAGGCCACCAAAAACCACACTGGGATCCACACTGACTGGAATTAAATATGCACTTAGATTCCTGGGTTGAATTAACACAAACTTTGGTGTGGGCCATAAAAAATAGCTTTAAAACTTTTAAGACTGAAAGGCTAACGTCAAAAGGATGAAAGACGACACAAAAAACCTGGGCCTGTCACTGCTGGAGGGGCCTGAGGTTTCCCCAGAGCAGCACAGCGCTCGTGGCTGCCCTGCGTGCCAGCGAGACCTGGACACAACACACAGACGCAGGCAGGGGAGGCCTCAGGCTGCCAGGGCTGTACTGGGCCATGGGGTCGCAGCGGACAGGACACCGCACATCAAAAACCTGCACGTGCAGAACTGAACTCTGGCCACCAAGGGGTGTCTATCATTAACTTCTAACACAGAATTTAGAACACCTGTGTTAAACCTGACAAAAATAGCAACTGGAAGAACGAAAGAGAACACAAGTATTTAACAAAGTGAAGGCTAAAGTTCTTTACAAAATTTAAGCAAACCTTTGGCAGTTCTCAGAGAAAGCACAAAACAGTAATAGAAGTAAACAGAACACACTCATCCAGCATCAGTTCTACAAACTACTTACATCAAAAAGAAATAGTAAGAAGTGACGCCTCTCCAGAAAAAAAAAAAATGCACAACCCACATACCCCGCCTTTGTGGACTGAGAAACACGCCCAGGCAGCCCCTGAGCAGAGAAGACAGTAACTGGGCTGCACCAGCAGGCAGCAAAGAGGGGTACATGATGGCGTCAGTGGTAAAATGTGAGGTGTAGAATCAAGGAAGTAGAAGACAACAGGAACAGCAAAAATAAGTACCTACACCACCGAGGAGAAAGGAGCAGATGTGCTCGGGAAAGAGTGTGAGGAGACACCATGGAAACAAGTCTAGAAATCTAGAGATGGGCGAGCTGAGTCACCCAGTGAGCTCATGAAGTGGCCCCCTGACTAAACAAGCATCTGACTCCACAATAACATAAACCACCCCAAGGCCGGCTGTGCAGGCTGTACCCCACTGGGCTGACCAACCCAGCTGGGGAAGCCAGGCCAGGCCCCCAATGAACACAGCTGACACAGAGCAGCAAGTCTGGCTTTACTCTCCCAAGACAACAGAGGCAGGAAGGCTGGCCAAGCCGGCGGGCATTTCCACACATTTCAGGAGGGAAAAAGCACGTGACTGTAGTAGCAGATACTCAAAAGTGCCTCTCTCAGAAAAGTAAAGCCAAGTATAAATTTGATCAGATGACTAAACAGCATGTCACTTAGCAGGACGCCCACCTCCTCGCCCTCACAGGCCCCACAGCGAGGTGACTATTGTTCACACAGCAAGAGCAGGCACCACCTCATGCCAGTACACATGAACATCTAGAAAATTCAAGGTTCTTACTAAAAGCTGTTTTAATTCCGAGAATCTGATAAAAGTTGTAATTTTTCTCTTCTTAGAATTACTGGGGGTGAAGGGTATCCATTTGCAACCTTAACACAAATCATAAAGTCCTAAAGGAACAGCAGTATCCAGGAAGGCAGGGGGACCCAGAGGAAGAAAACTATAAAATCACCCCCTACCAGCAGGGTGCCCGGACTCACAACTGAGACTTGTTGCTGTTGGGCCCTGAGTTGGCCATGCTAAGGATGCCCCGGCCTGTGTGCGAGAGGTTGGGCCGAAATTCATCTCTAAAGGGCTTCCCCCAGTACGATGCCCCACCTGAAAGAGAAAGAGCGTGGCGGGCAACAGACCCCTTGAGTCCCAGTCAAGTGTGGCCAGCAGGAGGCAGCTCAGCCTCAGAAATCTGTTCAGAGACCCAGGGGCCAGGCACTCAAGGGTCTGTGTCTGGGGCAGGCGACAGCCTAAGACCCTCATCACTAACCTCCCCTTGGGCTCTGCCCAGCCCCAGGCACTTGGAGTAAGTCAAGGCCAGAGCTCATTATCCACCCCACAAGGGAGTGAGCCTTGGCCTGAGCAGCTGACTGGGTGTGGCAGCATTTGAGAGCACAGGCAGCTGAGGCTCCAGAGCAGAGGCCCCTAGGGGAGGTAATGTGCTCCCGGCTATAATTTAACCTCACCACCACAGAAAGACAAGCCTGAGGTCACCTTGCCCACATATGAGCAGGTGGGCAATCGGGTCCACATCCAGAGCTCCTGGCAACCCAACACACCCCCTTGGGTCTTAAGGACTAGTCAGTCGTCAGAACTGCCTAGGGAGTCCCGCACCCGTACCTACCTGTGCCTGTGCCAGTGGGGTCACCCCCCTGGATCTGCAAGAACAACAAAAGCCAGTGAACAAGCTATGCCCCTTGGTTCCACCCAGCCCTCTAGCCGCCCACTGCCTCAGCCTCACCCAAGTGGGCTGCAATCAGGGTCTGAGCTCCTGACAGGAACAGGGCCCCTCTCAAGTCCCCTCTGCACAAGCCCAGTATGGCCAGGCTGGGGTCTCAGCCCATTTGCAGGGGCTCAAAGGTACGACACTATTCACCTGGTCCTGGCCAGGTGCTACACAGCTGCCTGTGTCCCGGGTACATCTGCAGCCAGCAGCAACTCCCGGCCCTCACCACAAAGTTCCTGATGGATCTGTGGAAGATGGTGCCATCATAATACTGCTTCTTGCAAAGCTTGATGAAGTTTTCACAGGTCTTTGGTGTCTGTAAAATTGCCCAGATATTTTTGTGAAGCACATGGCAGCGAACAGGAGGGTCCCCACGACGGCCACACCACCCAGGGCCCTTACTATACAATGGCAGATTCAGAGGGCAAGGACCCATGGAGCCAAGTTACAGGATACACACTGACTCAGCAGTTTCCCAGAGCCACGGGAGAAACTGAGAAGGGGACAGAGCAGCCTTCTGTGTGGAGTGTGCAGGATGCGGCCAAGGATCAGCGGCACAAGGCTGGGGGTGGAGGGCTCACACCTGCCTCCCGGGGAGCAGGTAGGATCGTCTACAACACACACTAACATGGCTTGGTTAAGACCCCAGCGGTGACCCTGGCATGGCACACACCTACCATGTCGCAGTGCAGCTCCAGGTTGAGGTCGCCCCTGTTGGTGTGCAGCCGCACATAGCCCTTCTTCTTTACAAACTGGTAGCGCAGCACATCCTCGTCAATGGCAGCTACAAGCAGAGGTTCAAGCTTTGTGCCTGCTCTCCACTGGGAGTCCCACCCTACACCAGGCACTAAGCCTCAGACACCACTGTAGCTCTGGGGAGGACCAAGTCAGAGCCTGAGGTCTACCCTGGGCGTGCTCAGGCTTGCAGGGGCAGGACAGGGGAAGTCTATGGGCAAAGGGGGCAAGCCAGGCCCAGTTAAGTAGCAGATGCTGGGAAAGTCTAGATACAGGGTGAGAGAGACTGTGGGAGAGGGCTGAGGGCTAGGCTGGTTAGGACAAGCCAAGAACATTCACATGGGACCTGAGGACAGTGCCAGAGGCAGCCTTCATGGGGAACCAAGGTGCCTGCGGCAGCCAGTGAGATGCCAAGATGCATCGTAGATGCAGATGGTAGAGGTAGGGTCTCTTGTCCCCCAATCCATCTCTCACGCCAGCTCCTCCCAATCTGGACACAAGTCCACTTTCAAAAGGGTCTGTCTCCACTTTGCTGTCTAAGAGCCCACATAGCCCAAAACTAAAGGCGGGAGGTAGGGTACCTGACCACAGCAGATTAGAACCAAGAAAGGAACTACCTGCTTCGTGTGTGGTTTCTGGAACCATGGCGGTTGAAGTGAAGGAGGCACTGACTTTCCCTGTGGAGTAGTGAGCCTGTCAAGAAAACCACAATAACATATACTGTGCTGCCCTGGGGGGTGGGCAGGCAGGCTGGGAACATGGAAATCCGCCATCCTCACTGCTGGGTCATCCATAGGACAATTCCTCCAGGAAGGCCTCTCTGACTACCAACCCAGAGGTACCAGCAGGAGCCTTGTGTAGGACAGGATGGCTTGGCCTGCACTGACCTTCCCCCAAAGGTCCAGGGAACAAAGGGCTATGATGGCAGGTGTGGACAAGGGGAAAGCTGGGATGCCTGGGGTCGAGCCTATGCAGGTCCATGGGCCCCAAATGCTCCAGAGGCCTGGTCAGCCAAGGTTCCTGTGTTATATGAAAGCCCCAGGCAGAGCTGGTCAGCTGGGGTTCATGATATGAGAGGTTCTAGTACCTTTTTAAAGTTTTCAAGATTTTATAGCAAATTATCTTTTAACCAGGAAAAGAAAAGGTTTGTTTTATTTTTAATTCTAAAAAGATTTTGATGGGGAAGGAAGATGTTTCTCCCCATCAGGAGGAAATACATCAAAATGCTAAAAGCTGTTATTAGAGTAGTGTGAACAACAACCTCATGTTTTACTTTTCTAAGAAATTTCCCTGGATAATTTTTTACAGGGGACACTGTCTACCCCCACCGCCCACCCCCAAGCCAGGCCCTGCCTGAACAGAGGAAGCAGCAGCTTCAGGCCCAAAAGGTCAGAGCACCAAGATGGGGTGCTCCCTGCGGTCTGGGGCCTCAGAGTCAACCACTGGGTGTGTGAGCAGAGGAAGGGCACTGAGCATTGTGCAGCCACTTCTCCGCTCTCCTCACCGCCTCTGAAAGGCCCCTGACGAGTCTGCGCTAGGGGCCTGTGACTAGTCCGCAAGGGGTGACTATGTACCCCCAAAGGATCACCCCCTCCCACAACCCACAGGCTGCCGTGTCACAGGGTGTGATTGAAGCTTCAATCTTCTGTGGCACAACCTTCTGGGGCTGGGAGCTACCTCTGATGACTTGTCATCACCCCAGCCTTCTCAGGGAGTCCTCCAGGGACTCAGGGACTCGCAGGGTCCAGGTCACCTCCCCTCCAAAGGTATTCCAGGACACCCAAGAGCCCGTTCCCGGAATGGGGCCAAGCTGTCAGCAGGGTGGCCCTCCTTCTACTCACTGCATTCAATTTGTCCACCTTCTTCTTCTCTGGGACCTTCATGGTGGCCGCCAGGACCTCATCCCCTTTGAACTCCTTGTATAGCTCCTGTAGCGTTTCTCGGGTCTCCGCATTTGTATTTTTTAAATAATAAGATGGATCCTGTTTGGCCTTTTCTTCATCTATAAACAGCACAGGAGCCCTGAGCAGCTAAGTCCCAGCAATGTCTTCACAGGAGGCCAGGGCAGACAGTAGACGCCCCGTGCTGGTCCCGCGAACCCACAAAGCAGTGGCGCCTTCATGGATGTGGCCTGGACACACTCGGTCGCTGCCACTCCAGAGGGGAATGTGTGGAGGAACAGAGAGAAAACAGCCGGCAGGGTGGCAAGTCCACCTGCCAGTGGTTTCACACTGCAGTCCACTTGGGTCTGTCTTGGGCCTCAGCCTCGGTCTTGTGGTATTATCAGCAGCCCACAGCACAGGACCTCCAGGTGATACCAGCTAGCTGAGGTGCTGCGCTCACCACCCCTCACAGGACCTGCCCACTCGCCAGAATGGCCCCGTGGCCTGAACTAACTGCCTCCCCTGCAGTGGGGACAGAGAAAATTCCTAGGGAGCAAGGAGAGGGACTAAGCACACAGTGGAAACTCCCCCATCCCACCCCTAGAACCTGGAGAAGTGGCCCAAGGAATAGGCCTTGGAGCTGAGTCTTGCAGTGAGCAGCCAGGCTTTCTCCCCTGCAGGCTGTGGGCACAGAGGCAGCACAGCCCTGTGGCATCACCACACATCCTGCCGCTGTGCACCTGTGTGGCCCGAAGTAGTCCTAACCCAACCTCAATGCAGGAGGGGCTGAGCATCAGCACAGAACATTCACACCTGGTCCTGAGTGAGACTCCTGTACCCCCAACCCCAGAGAGGCAAGACCTCTCCCAGAAAGCCCTAACTTACTTCACCCAAACCCACATATCCAGAGACCAGCCTTGCTTGTACATACCTGGATCTGTTATTTTCACATTATTCTTAACGTGAAAGAAATTGGAGACATTGAATTTGTCTAAATTGGTGGGATCCTGTGGGTAAAAGAACAGCAAATTGGAGCCAGCACATAGCCAGGCCTGTTGTGACTACCCTAGGCAGTGAAAGATGGGCAGTGGCATGACAGATCAGAAGCCAAGAGGGGAGTCGTGGGATGAGGTGTCTGTGTGCCAGGGTTTGGGATGGGGACAGAGTGGTACAAATGGTTCCTGCTCGCCACACTGAGGGCCCTTCACCTTGGTACACAGCTAGCGAGCATCCCTTGTTGAGCTGGGATGTTTGTTGAGGGGTCTTGGGCAGACCTGGGGCATCCTCCTCATGACCTCCCACTCCAGGAGTACCCTGCCCGGGTCTCTGCAAGCTGCTTGCTAGACACAGACTCCAGAGTAACGTGGGTGCTGGGGATGGTGAGCCCCCGCTTGGAAGGAAGACATGCTGACCTTTAGTGAGAGTGGGTCAAACCACAGAGGGGAGAGGGCTCATCTTAGTCACTCCCTCATTTTTTAGGTTTCAGGCTTCTCAGACACCTACAGAGGTGCCCTATGTTGATGCTGGGGTACAGAGCATGCCCCAAGCCTGGAAGGGGTCACTCAGAAGTTGAGACAGCTTCTGGGGTAGAGAGGAGGGGCCCTGGCACAGCAGATGTGAGAGCCAGACAGAGGAAAGGGGGGATAAATGCCTGAGGTGGCTGAGCAGGGAGGGCTGCAGGCGGAGCAGCCAGGGAGCTGCAGCTAATCAGGGCCACAGCAGGTGGCCGCCAAGCCTGGGTGGAAGGTGGGGTGCAGCAGGGGGCTGTGCCCAGGTTCTCAGTATGGTCCCTCCCTGGGAACAGGATGAGGAAGAGGACGCTACCTGGAGGGTGAGGATGTCCTGCCTGGTGAAGGGCTCGTCCGTCAGTAGGTCACGTAAGTTCTTGGCCTTAATGTTGAGCTGCTCCACTGCCTAAGCCAGAAAGAAGACCAATGTCATCATGCCTGGTCCCCACCCCGGCCTGGACGACGGTACAGTTCCAATAGTGAAGAAAAGGACAGGGACAACTGTGGACCCACCACAGGGTACTGCAGGGCACAGGCTGTGGAGCCCAGCAGGGCTCAGCCCTCTTAAGAACATCACAGGATGTTCTTGGCCATCTTACAGAGGCCAACAGGCTCCACCAGGCCGCCCATCTCTACAGACCAGCCCACCGCCGCCCCAGTCAGCACATGCCCCCACAGGAGTGCCCTGCAGAGGCTGAGAGTAGCACGGCCACCTGTGCCCTGCAGTGGCACACCTGGAGGAGGGCTAGCGCGGGGTCTGGGGCCTCTTTCCTACACCTGCCCACCAACTGGCATCCACTCCTCCTGAGCCCCGGGACTCCTTGCTTCCCTTGCAGCACGGGGGCCTATCCTTAGAACAGTTCCTCTCTCTGGCGCCTGTGCTGTGAGTGAACCCTCAGAGTCCAGTCCTACTCCAGCCAAACTGCTTGGGCTTCAGGTGTGAGGCTGTGGGCAGGCCCCACCTTTTCTTGACTGTGCCGCGGACTCTGACTGTAGGTCCTACAAAGACATGCTGTGTCCACTGTGTCTGAGATGCCCCGGAGCCCAGCCCAGGTTCCTGGAGCCCACACACCACACAGCTCCCGAGAACGCACCTCGTAGGCGTAGACATTGCCAGTGGTCCTCACAGCCACGATGTGGGTGTTGTTGTTGAACACCGTGTACAGCACCGGGCAGTGGTACTTCCCTAAACACGAGGTGCACACAGAAGAGAGGAAGCAGAGCCCGATGTCAGCCTGCCCAAAGTGGGAACCCAGAGCATCAGCCAGAGGCTCAAGCCCCGGCCCCCCCACCCTAAAACCAGGAAACTATTTGAGACCAACTATGCATGGCAGACACTCCCTGAGCACTTGCCATCAGCCAGCACCCCACCGGCTCTACCTGTCCTCAGGAACTCAGTCCTTCCCACAGCAGCCACAGTGGCCCTGTCAGGTCAGCCTCAGACCTGCCACATGCCCTCACATCCTCACTGGGATCACAACAAACTCCTGCTGCCCTCCCTGCCCTGCGTGCAACCCTGCCACTCCCAGCTCGGGAGCCAGGGGCCAGTTCAAATATCCCAACAAGTAAACTGCAAAAAAGGCAGGAGGAAGCAGGAGAAACACCAGTGAGAAGATACACAGATGTGTGTATACTTTTAAAAATAACCCCGACATGTAAACTACAGAAAAATAATTATAAAAGCATTCTGAAAACTTGACTGCTGGCTGCATGCTTGCATTTGATGATATTTAAGAAATGTCTGTTGAGTTTTAAAGTATGATAATGGCATGGCAATTACTATTTTTTTTTTTTTAAAGATTTGTTTATTTGTGCATACAGAACTGGGGTTCAGGCCAGAGGCTCAGGGACGGTGAGAGGCTTCACCAGAGACAGAGTGGGGAGCAGAACAGGCAGATCGATGAAGTACACTGCTGAGGGGAGCAGGGGGCGGGTTCAGGAGAGGTCTGCCACACCATGTGGTCACCTCCGGGGCAGGCGGGAATCGAGCTCATGCAGAAGCGGCTTTAGATTCTCAGTGCTGTGCTTTAACCCGCTGCGTCACCAGGGAGGGCCGCAATTACTATTTTTAAAGTCCTTATCTTTCTGGGATATGAAGTGAGGTACTTAAACATGAAATGATAAAATGTCTGGGATTTGCTTCAAAATCATCTAAGTGGGTGCAGAGTACTAGTACAGATAAAATCAGATGAGCTGTGAGTGGGAGCATGGAAGTTGGGCAACGGAGAGAGGGCAGGGGTGGCAACTGCTAGGTCAAAACGAGTCAAAGAAAGGACAAAGATCAGGTCACATTCTGTATCTCCTTTCTCAGTCAAATCTTAAGAGTCTTCTAGTGGCCACGCAGGCCCGGTAGGACTCGGTTCTGCCCTGACTGTGCCGCCCATCGCCACTGTTCCAGCATACCTGTCTGTGCCCTGACAGGCTTGCGGGGTTGTGCACTGGCTGTTCCCTCTGCACAGAATGCTCTTCCCCAAACTGCCACACAGCAGCCACACGCTGCCTCCTTCATTCCATCCCTCAGATTTCCACTCAAATCTGGCACCAATGATCCAGGAGTGCTTTACTTCTGGGTCTGGCAGAAGCAGCATCTGACACACTATGGAGAGCTGTTTCCGTTTCCTCCCTCACCAGAATGTACATTCCTTCCATCATGGGAGAGATGTGGTCTGTTTTGCTTTCTGCATATGGCAGCTACTCAGTGAATATCTGCTGGTTTTCCCTCAGATCAGCCATTGATTGACAGGGGATGCACACAGCATTCTGCACCAAGGTGGAGCTCCTTGAGCCTCAGAGACTGGGAGTAACATGTGCTGGTCTACTCAGTCACTCCCTGTGAGCCCACCCTGGCCTCAGATCTCCCCAGAATGTACATGTTCACTAAGCACAGAGCTCAACCTCAAACTCTATGGCACCTGCACAGAACAAAGTGCCCAGGGTGGAAAGGGGGATACTGCCTTATTTCAGGCTCCTGGTCATTTAGAACATTGAAGGGCCTGCAGAGGCAGAAAGCAAGACCCCAGAGGCAGGCTGAGACTGTGTAACTAGAAGGAAGGAGAAGCCCAGTGCAAGACCATCCATAACCTCCTACCCTCAAGCCCAGCCACCTGCCATGGGCCTGACTAGAGCAGCTTCTGTCTGCAGTGATGAGACCAGAGTCATAGTCAAGAAGGACCAACTATGTCCACAAGGTGACTAGCAGGCCACACGGCCCAACCACCTTTGTGGGAGGTGCACAAAACCTGAGGTTTCACACAACCTCCCTCCCTCTCCCAGCTTTAGCCTACCTGGACCTTTAAGAAGAAATTACGTCACATTTTTAGAAAGTGAAAATAAGTGTATAGACTGATCAGAAAGGAATGAATGATTATGTATACAAATGGTAGAAAGGAGGGAGTCCAGTTTTAAAAGAGATCACTCACCTTCGCTATTCTTTGCAAAGTTTAGCTTGATTAGGGACCTCCCATCCAGTTTCTGGAAAAATTGAAATTAACAACAAGTAAGTGACTGATGTGAAGAACTGCTGGGCTGTGAAGCTGCGTTAAGATAGGTAGACTGAGAAGAGTGTCTGGCCATCCTAACTGGTCCACTACAGACAAGAGACCTGACCTGGGAGCCCAGGGTACAATAACTACCTTGAATTAGAGGGTAAGTAAGCAAAGTGGCTCCACTTACCACAGGGGCTACCTCCAGGCTGGAGGCCAAGGCTGAAGGTGAAGGTTTGCTTTATAGTTCTGTAATGTCTAGACATTCTTACAAAAAATAATGATTATTTCTAAGACTTAAAAATAAATCTACCTCTCCAGCTGGTTGGTAGGGTTAGGATTAGGGTACACGGGTTTTCACCTTCTTGCTCTGTTATGTACTATTTAAAACAAAAAATTAAAAAGAAGTGAGCAGTCTTCAAGGGTAAAAAAGTAAATACACCCTAAGAGTAGTTGTGATGGAATACTCTATTTTCCCAAGTTTCTGTAACGTATTTGCTGTTCATCTCCCCTAAGGGAAACTTTACTTACAATAAAATAAAGACCAGACAGGCTGAGGAAAAAATATGCCCTACGGGGAGGCCTCAATTGGAAATGTAAGGGGGCTACCGAGGCACCCTGAAGGGAGAGGCAAAGCAGAGCCATTACTTTGGCTGCTAGTCATGAAAAGCTGCTGGCCATCTGGTGTAGGGTGTGGAGTGGGCCTGGCCCTCACCGACCCAGAGGAGACACTGGGAGGCCATCCGGGGGCTGAAATGGGCCTAAGCCAAGCTCTAGTCCTGCATCCTCCCTCTGCTAAAGCAGTCAGGTGCATGCGTACACACTCCGTGAAGCCCCTGCCTGCTGGTCAGCCCACGGCTGCTCCTCCACAGCTGGCTTCATTCCTTCGTCATTCCAGGATCCTAGACACACTTGTGCAGGAGAGCCTCGAGCTCCACTTCAGATGACCAGGTTCTTGCCTCAGGGCATCCCACCATCAGCCCTTCTTAAGGCCCACGCACCCATGTACACGACAACTCAGAGACAGCCACATAACATGCTCTCCCCGAGGCCCCGAGAAGAGATACTGGTGCAAGCTGGCCCCTGCCCCAAAGGTTCACTGCAACTCACGCCAGAGAAACCCTCCTCAGACAGCCAGCAGGAAGGGGCTCTACTAGTTCTGCATATCTGGCCAAGCAAGCCCTACTGAGACCAGGCTAGGGAGAGGAACTGTACTCAAGACAGATTTGTGGGGCTTGTCAGGGGCGTCTCTGCGAAACTCACCCCAATAGGACACCAGGAATAAAGAAAATGGCTAAGCCTCAATGACATGTGCCCATATATGGAGTCAAGCTAAGTGCCATATTGGGCCTGGTTCCGAGCACAGAACATTTAGGTTTTGGAGCCCCCCAAACACCCTAAGTAACAAAAACTACCCCTGATTCAACCAAACAACTGCCCACCAGGGAAGACAGGACATGAGGGTAGGTGTGGACAAGAAAACACAAGAGGACTCAGAGGAAGAGGGGCCTGAAGTCCAGCGGTGACCGAGGAGGGCACGGACCCTCAGCCACAGAGAAGCCTGGTCTGACACCTCCACCAGGACACACGTGGTCTGATCCTGGGTATGACAAAGTAGCACAAAACAAGCTAATCACAGGCAGATAGTGCAAAGCCTGCAGAAGGAAGTTGGAAGCCCACAGTGGTTCCTAGCAGCAGACCCTGGAAAAAAACATCAGTTACACCTTCAAAAGACAAAGACAGAGGAAGGTCACAACAGCAGCTGGAGGGAACTCTCCTTGTTGCCAGCAAGCACCCCAACCCTACCACCTGTAAGAGAAAAGCCCACTGAACTCCTGAGTTCAAACACTCTCCCAGGATATCCTGGAGGGGTCAACCTGTCCTCCAAAGTTCACAGAAGCCTCCAGCTGCCTGCTTGCCCTCCTCATTCCACCTCCAGCCCAAATGCCTGCCTCTGCTGTATGTAGCCACTGTAGCCACCATCTTGCCACCCGTGGCTCTGACCCTGAGGGATCTCCTTCCTTCCAATACCTATTAGCCTGGAATCCAAACACAGGCAGGCTCACCTGGTTCCAGCTGCCTGTCCCTGGCAGAGAACAACTAACTGAGCTGGTCCCCCTAGGACAGGCTGCACCAGGAGGTAAAGACTGACTTGACATCTCAGCAAGCCTGCTGGTCCCCCTCACAGAATAGCAGGGCTTCTCAGCACAGACCATAGGCACAGGTTAAGGGTTCTAAGAAGTTATGCACTGGTATGAATGCCAATCCCAGATTCTCTGATGCACTAGGGTGCGAAGGCAACGCTCGGAGGGGCTATTCACTGTGTGATCACATCCATGTCCAAGGAAAGAATATACACCTCTATACACACATAGGGAACATTTCCAGAAAGGAAAGGGGAAAGGTGTGGAGGGAGGGACAATTTCTTCTCATTGTGCCCCACAGGTCCTCTATCAGCTGTGCAGAAAAAAAAAACAGAAAGAAGGATAAGCCAGAGGACAGCACACACAAGCCATCACTTACACTCTTGCACAACCACCTACCTCTCCATTGCTGGGGTTAGTCCCATACTTCTTAAGCCAAGGGACAATATTCCTGAAGGGAGAGACAGAGGTGTCAGCACAGGGTGTGGGCAGCATGGGAACAAGGCCACAGTACCAGCTTCCAGGCAAAAGCTTCTGGGAATGGTTTCATCCTGCTTCACTTTTAGAAGCAAGAAAAGGAGCAATTTGCCTGGTCAGAGGAAGCAGGGACCATTTCTGGATACATGAGTTTCATGTTCTCATTACAGTTACGTATAAAGAACGAAAACTACAGTTTACACATATAAACAAAAGTACATAGAAGTTGATATATCCATAAAATATGATATAGGGCAGCACGAAAAAATTGAGTTTTTTAGAATTCTGAATAACATGGGGGTAAAAAGCTTTGTGACAATGTGATTTAAAGTAAGAAATAAGTGTCTGACCTTCACCCTATTTTTGGCAAAAAGCTCCTAAAAGCCTTGGAATCTCCTAATTGATCGAACAAAGGTGTCTCTTGTTACGTTCAAGGTAACTTCTGGAATGTGCCTAAAGATGGGAATGGTTGCTAAGGGAGACAACCTGATTCTGAGGCTTAAAATTTCAGTCTCACTAAGCCAGAAAGAGAAAGAAAAATACCGGATGGTTTCACTCACAGCAGGAGTATAATGGACCAGGCGAGAAAATAACAAAAATAATGAACAACCATAT